CCATGGTCGCATCCTCATGTCCGTGTGTCATGACTTGAGGGTTCGGTTCTACCGCTTCGGGGCCGTATCTACGTCCCCTTTTCTTTCCGCGCTTTATTTCCTATACATCTATCTCCTCGGCACATCTGCCAGATAGAACAAATAATTGTAAGGTCATGATCTAGATGCCAAGGCTCGGCTATGGCTGAAACTGGGAAATCATCATCGGACTTGTCTTGTGGTGCTTGTTTCATTTTGGGGAATAGTTACGATCATCCCAGCCTATCCATCCCTCCTTGGGGGTATGATACTTTTAACTCAGCTAGCCCGAGTGACCGATAATCTCGATAGTCGATATTAGTATCCCAACGCTTATCCATGTCCAGGCAGCCTTATCCCTTCCTGAAGATACTCCAAAGTTTCAATCGCATGGTCTGTGCCTGTGGGGTAGGCAGGACCAGGGTGGTAGTAATCGATACTAGGACTTTGGCGTGGCCCAACAACTTAAGATAGAGAGATACTAGATTTATTACCGGGAATTCCGTGGGCAAGCATGCTGCCGGGAGAGGAAACAGAACAACGGAGAGGTTTCAGTGTACAAATCAGACGTCGGAAGGCTTGCATTGGGCTGGAAGACAAATCGAAACGGGCATTGGATCACCGCTTCGTGGCAAAGCTGAAAGGTGGTCCCGTGGCTATGGAGCCTGGAGCAGAACGCTTGATATTCGCTCGGCGCTGCCCAACCTGAGTGGATCTCCGAGTCAACTGGAGGCCTAGAATTGGCTGCCACCGAAGCAGGTACTTTGTTGGCATCAAGATGGCAACTTTGTAGTGAGCTTGCACGAACAGGAGAGATTATCCACTCTCTACTCCGACATCTACAGAATCATGCTCTACTCACTACCAGGTAAATTGATTCCTTTTCATTAGGTGTCCATATGCTACGGTAGTGACTAGTGGTATGTGTACGTATTCATGATTCCAAAGGGCATGGTACAGGCTAGATATAGCCCAGCTCAAAAAGAAAACAAAATAAGGGCGAGCCTCCGTTCTGACGAGTGCTGATACTCGCATTGTGTGATGTATAGTGTGTGGCTTTCCGAATCCACAATTATCCCTCTGTGAAAATGATTAGGTACTCAGTAAGTGATTCAGGGAGCTTTATCTCACGTTCAACCCTCGAAAAGTGGGTTTTTGTGGATGCTGGCAAAGGAACTCAGCTGTCACCTTCCCAAGGCAGACTAAACAAGACCCATCCAAAGCCCATGGAAGAATTATCCATATCATTTTCTTCGTTCCCTTCTCCTGTTCGTTGCCTTGCTTTCGTGTCTTTTCTTTTTTACCCCCTTCTTCTCTGAGTATTTGCTTATTTTGTATACTCCATTCTGTAGGCCCAAATTTTGGGAGTATCTTTCGTTTTCTTAATCCCCCCTTCCCTCCCTTCCCTTTCTATAATTTCTTTTTTGTATATGCGGTACTTTGTATGACCTGTTCTCAATTGCCGGTCTCTGCATCTGCATCTACTGTGCGTAGTTGGTCAATCAGTTAGTTACTTACTGACCTGCAGGAAGGAATCAATGGTGGGACCTATCTACCACCAACTGTATCCTAGTCTACCCCTCCCCTTCAGCCGATCACTCAGAGCTGAACACGAACAAACGAACCTACCTTTACGCATACATACTACGGAGTAGACTTACTGTAGATACCTAACTACTTGCGCAGTAAGTCCCCCTACCTCCTACCTGGATAGCACAAAGCCAATAATTATTACCTATAATGGCAATTGAACAAACCCAAGGCAAGTATCTACCGCTAGATACTTAAGACGCCTCTGGAGTGAAACAGTAAAGCTAACCACTAAGCAGCTAACTAAATCACTAAGGAAAAAAACCCACCGTCCAAACCCCGGTACTGGTACTATCTTTCTACTCGCAGCGCCGTCCCAGCTACCTGGATAATAGTAATGTTGAATGGAAAGACTAACTAACGTAAAAGTGTAAAACCGAACCAGCCCGAACCCGACCTACGGAGAACTCCGTAAGTTACTTACTTACTTTAGCTACTTAAGGAAATTTTGGCAGACAGGTCAGTCACAAGAGAGAACGCAATTCCGCGATTGAGGTACTCCGCTCGAATCCCACCATCCACTTTTGCGTTCTTTTTCCTTAATAAATTCTCAGGTAAGGGTTTTCCGACTTGGTTTAATCTGCAGAAAACCATGGTTCGTCACAGATTAGATGCAGGTTTAAAGTGTTATCTAACTACTTACTTCGTAGTTGGACTTTGATTGCTACGGAGGAGTATGGCCCGATGAATCAAAGGTTCGCTAACCATCCCATTTCACATGGGAGGGAAGGAGAGCGAGAGAGAGAATGGTGTGAAGTAAGTGGTTACATTATTCACTTTGTAAATGTAAATGTAAACTGGAAGGTTTTGTGTTTGGAAGTAAAGATAGAATTGCCCCTCTGTCTATCTGGATTTGCGACAACTCCTGGACTGGGTATCTGCTCTCTTACCTTTCTCTGTGTATGTTTGTCTATGTATCATTCTCTCCCTCTTCCGAATCAGACCATGCGGTCGGTCAGAAGGAAAGAAAATCGAAGGACTAGACTAGACTAAACTAAAACAGAGAAAGAGAGGACCGACCCAACGGAAAGTTTTGTGGTGAGATAGCCGGTAGAGATTGACTTGGGGCGTGAGATTAATTAAAGCTCGTCCCGGTGCAATCAATATATGATGCTGGTCTAGTTCTAGTTCGAGTCTAGCATCTATCTAGCTGACGATGATGAAGAAAACGAAGAGGGGGAGAGAAGGAGTAGACTAGCGTGAGAAAGAAAGAAGAGGGGTGGTTTGGTTTGGTTTTGGTCTTGGTTTGGTTTGAAGGGGTCCGTCCGGGCTGTCGGTAGGAAAGGCCAATTTGTTTGGGTGGTAAATTAATTCCGCTCCACTTGATGACCAGATGAAACCGAAACCGAGGCCGGGTTGTGGGGAAAGGTAGGAAATTACCACGCGTCTAGAGATGATTTAATTTATCTTAGTCGTGGGTATCTTGGCTGAGAGAGGAGTCTTATTGTCTGTTCGACCAAAAGTTAAGTCGAATTAGTATCCATGATCTAGTAACTAGAAGGGTTTTTTTTTGGATCGCGATCGAGGAGGGACAGAACACTGGGAGAGTATACTTTATTACTTAAGGGAAAGAGGGGGGAGGGGAATTAATATCGCGATGCATATGTTCCGAACACTACTGGACTAGCAAGAACCAGTTCATCGGTGAAGGACGGGTGGTCTAGACTCGAAGGAGATTTTATTTTTCCAATTTTTTTCTGGTTTCGCGTCAGGTTCTCTTCTCCATCCTGGTTGTGTTCGGCTATGGCTTGGGTTGGTGGTAGATTGAACGTATCACTTTGGACTGGAGGGGAAGAGGATGACGGGGGGAAAGCGGCTGATGAGGGAGCGAATAGTAACTTAACTTGTACTATACAATGGTCATGTTAAGAGTTTCAGATAACCCTTCATCCCTGCCGGTTTATTGACATACATGAGCAGGAAAGCGGATCGAATCGGATCCTCTCAAAACACACATGAAGGACCAAACGGACACAGCAGAAGCACACTGGCAACGGGCTCGTGTGACATGGACGGTTTGACCATCATAGCTAGGCGCCTCTCCTAGCCACCAGTGGTGAACTGATTCCAATGGATACCCGTCATCATGGCCTATCTACTGAACCATTGACACTGACACAACCGTTGAACGGCCAAGTGCCGTATCCCGCTGCAATAATCCTGTTCGAAACTTCCCGTGTTCAAGACAACTTTAGAGCTCACGTCCATCTCATTTGTCGTTGAGGGCGCCAGCCCCGTCATCGTTCGCTACCTCCGTAGAACCACTTAGGGTAATCTACCCAGGCTGGACTGGCCGGAAACCTGTAGTCCTGGTCGCAAGTACCAGGGCTAGGTACTATGGATATGTCTGCCGGACCGGGCCAGGGTGTACCTGACTGGTCCAGTCTGGAATTCTCATTTCCGCGCGGGTGGTCTGGCAGCCGGCCAGAACTTGGGTTGAACCCCACTCGATCTCGGCCGTCGGGAGTCTCTCAGGACGTCATTGCAAAGGCCATACAGGATCCTAGGATGCAAGTACTCCGTAATCGGGACCCAGTCCCTGCGCTGAATCGCTCCGTACATCTCTTGGATGAGCAGCAGCTGGTAGATTAGGGAAAACAGTATCGGATGTCCTATAATAGCTGAACACGTCACATGGGCTTTGGATGTGTGGTGATGAAGGAAGCAAGAGTCGCAGAGTGATATTGACATGTGACACCTGGTTTATCATGTGACTCTCTTGTCTATTACGCAGTACTGAATAGGAAATCAATGAACCGGAAGCTTCAATTGAGCTCTTAATAGATATTTTGGAGCTTCTTTCTGCTCAGATCCTTATGCATGAGTCCAACGTTCATCAAGTCCTCGGGCCTACTTCGCTTTGGACTATACCACCCACTAGTTCGGACAAACAGGATGTGGAACACTGATGGACTCCAGAAGAACAGCCATAACAGGCACATTAATTCTTTCTTTGTTTAGGCATCCTGATTTTCTATTCTGGGAGACCTGGCCATTATAAAGGTGGTCGACAATGACCGCTACAAGGCCGTATGGTCCTTTGTTTCTCCGTCTTCACAAGGGCTGCAGTGTCTGGATAGCATTATTAAACAAGGCCTATATTTAACATTGTATTTTTTGAATCTCTATGTTTACTTTTGAGTCAATAGCAATGCTGTCATGGGGGACCAATGATCACACAGCACCTTTCTTTAAATAGCGCGTCAGGCTGTCTCGGTTTAAGCACTTCAAAGAGATCAGGGAGGTGAGAAGATCCCTGTACCAAGTGCAAACGAGATAATGCATTCTCTTCCATTCCCACCTTGTCGTTATGTGGTTCTCAGACATAAAGCGAGCAGCACTCTCCTTTGCGGGCATACCCCTTGATCATAATACAGAACGTCTCTCCATCCTGCTAAGTTCGTCTATTCTCGAGCTATACACTCATACGGCCGTCTTTATATTTAATATTCGCTGGAAAAGGAACGAAAGATATTGATAGTCCAAGATATGAGCGAACCAAAACCAGAACCCGAACTACCACATCGACGGCTGTCACAGTCACCAGAATCGGTATGTACTCGTGGATGGCCGAGCTAGCCAAAGATTACTTGGCTAAATGACTGGCAGGATGACCTTATCACCTCTGGCTGGGCCCCTCTGGGATTCAGTCGGGAGAAAGTCAGGGGATTCAGAAATCCAGGTACTTTATGCTACCGGAACGTGGTGCTTGTTGTACTTATGAATACGCCTATCTTTCTGAAATGGCTTATAAGATATCGCAAAACCCACGAAGCGTGTACTCCAAAACAGCAGAAGTGCTTGACTTGTTGTCTTTATCGTCTTTATTATCTCTATTGGGTCGAGGAAGATGATGGAACACAGAGATTGCAGAGATGTCTGAAACCGTTATGGAGAATACTTGCAAAGACCTCCTGGAAAGGTTTTACCGAAGGGCAGCAGGATGCGCGTGATTTCATGGAAAGCATATTTCAGCAGCTACTTGAAGAGGTAGATGAACAGGGGTAAGGCTCTTCCTTCATACGTACGCCACACGCCCGATACTAACTTGAATATAGCCGCCACGAATTGAATGATATCTTCAAGATTCGAGTGGGCAGGAACGACAAGTGCTGCAAATGTGAGAAATCAAAGATTCGGCCCGATGAAAAATTCTTCATGGTGTATGCTCCTGAGGATGAAAATATGCCTGGGTACGCGAACATCGAGGAAGGACTGCTTGACAAGCCAGAGCATTCGAAGGAAAGGTGTGGCAAGTGCAGGCAAGAGACAGACCATATCATGTCTGAGAAGGCTTTAAACCTTCCTGAAGTTCTTCTTGTTCAGTTTCCCAGGATGAAATACGACAAAATCACGAATGAGCCCAGGAGAATCAGGGTTCCAGTCTGGCTTCAAAAAGACATAGAACTCCCACCTGGCTTATTGAGTGATACAGTGAAAATCGAAGGCTGCGCCCGTTATGAGCTTTTCGGGATAGTATTCCATGAGCCACATGAGACGGACATTCAGATGGGCCATTACACCTGTGCTGTCATGGGACCAGATAATAAATGGGCACATCAAAACGACATGGAAACCAATACTTATGGATCGCTGGAAGATTGTCTGGATTTTCGTATGGATAACCACAAAAGATTCAAGCCTCCCTACCATGATCGCGTCTGTTGGGCGGTCTACCACCGTGTGCCTCTCGAGAGGCCATTAGATCTTGGATCAGGGGTCTGGGAGGATGATCAGGCTTCGGCCATGCAAGCAACTGACAACGATGAACCGCCCAGCGATCTTGGATGCCATGGCGACCCCGATGCAGGCTCTCCAAGGGGCTCTTCCCCAGAACCTGGCCCAGGTTCGATGAGCATCGCGCCTCATAATGCTGTATGCCTGGAACAATCCATTCACCTAAAGGGACGAAGATTGAAATGGACAGTCGACGACCAGCTGGTCATACCTGAGGGAGCCGGGCCCCTTGTCTGGCTGAAACCGGGGAAAAAGGTTCAACATGCCGAGGTCAGGCTTAGACTTGTCTGCCGAAAGACGAGAGAGGTCCTCACAGGGCGAGCTATCATCCCCCTCAAGCCAGATATATTACCCGAGCCATATGACGCTGGAACACGGCCGGACACACCTGTACGAGACATTGGAACACAAACACGACGCAGGGTCCCCAGGGAAGACAGCGGGTCAGCAAGACTTTCGGGAAGTGCGCAAGATAGGGTTATCTCTGGGAGAATTACAAAAGCCGGTAGCCAGAAGCGGGCTCGATCCGCTTAGGGGGGGCTTCTCTTGAGAAAGATGCTTCATAGATTGGACTTGAATCTGCTGGAAGTCCTGTGGAGATTGAAGTGGTAGTTATGTTGTTCGATTATATATTCTTTCTAGTGTGCGGATACCTCAATGCAATGCTTCCATGGTACTTCAGCTTAGCGTCCTGTCGCGTTCGGATTAATTCTCTATTTGATGGAATCAACAATGCCTACGCTGGACTTTTCATTATAACCATTCAAAATTTCATACTCTATTGATACATCATACTTGTGAGATACTAGTAACATGCGACCTTTTATCGAGGACAGCGCAGTTTCAAGATCAATCGGGTTGTAACCTTCCCGCACCCTTTCCTACTATCCAGAACTATCTTACAATTTTCATCTCCAGCTACACTTCCCCAATGGCGTCTCAAAACCAGTCAGACCGTCAACTCCCCTCCCAAACAATCCCTTCATCTGCCCAATTTATCGATCAATTAATCTCCCACCTCTCAACCTTCACCGTCCCGCCCGTAGACAGTAATCATGACCACCGGCATCAACCACCAGCCCGACACCACCGCACACCCTTCTCTACTCTCCCTCCATCTCAAATGGCAGAAGTGAAGGCAACAATGCTAACACTCCACTGCATCTTCCCAAATGAGCTTCTTCTCGCTCTGGACATTTTGGATAGGGACCTAGTGAGCCGGTTCATATGCAACGACACGACCAACGCCAGCAGTCACACATCACACCCTACAACCCACCATCATTCCTCAACAACAAATGATACTACCAGAGACATACATGATTATATTTATGTCCGCTCAGCATCTACCATTTCCCCCGATCAAAGCGACCCATTCTCAACCTCAACTTCAACCTCATCATATCACACCAAAGAACCAGACCCAAAAGGCTACGAAGTCCGCCTAAAGGCCTGGAACTGCACGTGTCCTACTTTTACCCTGAATGCATTTCGAGACTCGGGACCTGATGAAGCTGAAGAGGATCCACCCTCCACCACTGGTCACGATGACCCGTCCTTAACAAAGGACAACTACTATCCATTCGGGGGTTCGTTGACCAGGAACTCCACCCGCTTCTCTCCTCCCGTGTGCAAGCATCTTCTGGCCTGCTGCTTGGCCGTGCGGTGTCCGGGTCTCTTTGGGTGCGGAGAAGGGGGTTCTGTTTCCGTTGTCAGTGCGGAGGAATTGGCGGGCTGGTGTGCTGGGTGGGGTGGATGATGAAGGCTCTAGGCTTTCTTTGTTCAATGTATGTTTCGAGTCGGTGAGGGAATTTAAGCTATTCTTGGGTGTTTGTTCTTTGCCCTTGTTCTTTCTGGGTGGAGTACATGCATGGTATGCTTTATTTCTACTTACGGAGGTGGAACACTACTTACTCATTGTCTCATCGAATAGGTCCAAATGAGGATTGTGGTGGAGTCGTCTCTTGCTGTTATTGAAACCTGAGTCATGATGGCTGGGTGCCATTACGTGGAAGATGACCCAGCAACACTATGGCATGACGTGTGCAGGGCAGTGGGATGATCGTCTGTTGGATACGTGCCCGTCTACAACGACTACTACTACTACAGTGCCGCCTGTGACCGGCTCCAAATTGTGGAGTCCACTAGGAAAGCCCTTGGAGCTCGCAATTCCATAAGTTCATCCTCGACAATACTTCACGCAAGTGCTGCTCCGAGGATATATCCTACCAATACAGATATAGCAGCATCGTTGCTGGCCTATAACAAGCAGATGGCCCGAGGTCGCAATCAGCCGCGTAGAGATTACCGTAATATACATTCGATGGACTGCATTGTTCTAGATGATCGTATCGCATAGAGTCCCTGACCCCGTCTACTCCTTCTGGCTCTTCTTGGCCTTCTCCTTGTCTTGACCCTCCTTCTGCTCTCCATTGGCGGTGCTGTTGGCCTTCTTCGCGGCCTCCTTCTCAGTCTTGGCCGCGTTGGCCTCTTGCTCCCTCTTCAGCTCATTCTCTTCTTGTTGCTGCCGGTTCTGGATCTTGTTCTCGATCAAGTCGTGGAATGCGGTGATGGCGCGGATCAAGCTACTCAAGTAGATTGCCATTAATTGGTCGTTGGTCTTGATGCTCATGGCCCGTGCGAGCTCGCTGTTCTCCGACGGCTGTTCGGGCGCGCCACTGATGCGCGGCGTGGCGGCTGGTGTGGTAAGGTTGGGGAGGAGGTTGAAGACGTCCTGGAGGTTGCCCAAAATAGCGTGATTGACCGGGAGTTCGTGGTCAAGAACCTTCTGCAGGTATTGGCCGATGTCGCGCAAACGCAGGTGTAGGCCCTGCAGCGACTGAAGCTGCGACGTTATGCGGGTGGAGAGGGTTCCGACAGCGACATCCCTGATATCCCGGAGAAGGTGCTCCACTCCAATTTCCTCTGCTTCCTCGGCTTCGATTATAGACGGGGTGTGGACGAAGGTCTTTGATGTTGTGGTGCCATCCTATTATTACAGAGATTGTGATGATTAGATCAAAAGTCCACTGACGAAGCCCGTCACGACGGCGCGCATTGCTACTCACATCCTTGATCTCGTCCACGGCAAAGTAAGCATCCGTAGGAACGCCAACCTCCTTCGGTTGGACATCCACAATCACCAGCAGAGGGTTCGGTGTGTAGCGCTTGAAGAGTTCGTTGATTTCCAAATCCGAGGCCCGCAGCTTCGGGCCCGAGTGATACCACCCAACCAGCTTCTCACGAGCATTGATCTTCTTGAACATGTCCCTCATCGACTCGACAAAGTTGTGATCTAGGAACCAAACGGAGGGGTCCTTCTCATCTTCCTCGAAGGGTACTGGGAAAGGAACTGTCAGCATGTGGACACTGAAGGAGAGACCGAAGGTAATAGAAGGTCAATGACGCACCCGCAAAGCTGTTCGATACCCGGACATTCTGACCCGAGTTCTCACCCAGCAGCACACCAACCACACGTTTCCGGGTACCCTTGGCCGAGCGGCCGTAGTGATCTGCGACGGAGAGAAGAACTAGAGGAGCGACCGTGACGGTGCGCTGAACGAGGGAGAGGGCGTCCGCCGTGGTGGCAGGCATGGCGGAGACAGAAGGAACGCGAGACGAGCTGTCACCGGTGGAGATAGGACTGAGAGGGGAGGATGAAGGGTATTTCAGAAGAGAGTGGGAGGGATTGTTGCGGGATAAGCAAGGGGATGAAGATGGGAGATGAAGGAGGAGGAGGAGCGATGACGATGAAGAGGGAAGCTGTTGTTGGTTGGATCAACGGAGAGCCTCTGGATTCATTGGAGCTCCGTGCTTGAGCCACATTTGAGTGGCTGATGGTGTACATTGACACCTCGACACCTGAACATCAGCCACACATCTACATTACTAGTGCCTTTTTGCCTCAGGCATAAAATACGGGACACGTGTTCCGGGACTAGTCCCGAGTTGGACTCTTCAAGGCTCAAACCAGTGGAGATTGGCTCACAGAAAGGACGTCATGTTGGAAATGAGAGATTGCTTCCGGGTCAATGGACGCCTCTGAAGGCCATTGAGGATCTACCAAACACCTCCGATCAGAACCCCGAAGACTAGGGTGCCGGTCGAGGCGAATTTCCCAGGGCGCAGGAACCTCGGGTGGGAGACTCCACTCCCTCCGGTCGGCCTCTTTTCTCCCCCAACATGCACTTTCTCCGTTCCCTTCCCTTTCCCCGGTCTGGTTGATATCTCTTCCTCATTCCTGCCACTTCTCTCCTCTCTTCCCTCCTCCTTCCCCTCCTGTTCCCTTTCCGGACACTTTTTTGAAGCGTTCTCTTTTTCCTCTCCACCTTTCACATCACAATGGCTCCCATTATGGACGAGGTCGTCAACGGCCTGAAGGACACTATCGGAAAGCTGGAGGCTCGTGTTGAAGAGTTGGAAGGCCGCCTCAGCAACCAGGTCAAGCCCAAGTCGGTTGCTGAGCAGATGCGCATCATCCTGATGGGACCTCCTGGTGCCGGTATGTTCTCCATTGACAATCCTTGAACTCTTTCTGCATCCTCTCCACGTTTCCCTGCTTTTCCGTCCTGCGGAATTCTGACCGATTCTCCAAACTAGGCAAGGGTACCCAGGCTCCCCGGCTGAAGGAGAAGTACTGTGTCTGCCACTTGGTAAGCTATCTACCGGGACGTAATTAAATGCTTTTGAGCCCGATGCTAATGTCAACTTCCACTTGTGCAGGCCACCGGTGACATGCTGCGCTCCCAGGTCGCCAAGAAGACCGCATTGGGCAAGGAGGCTAAGAAGATCATGGATCAGGGTGGTCTGGTCAGCGATGAGATCATGGTCAACATGATCCAGAGCGAGCTTGAAAACAACTCTGAGTGCAAGAACGGGTTGGTAACCTGATACCTATGCGATTCTGCTTTTGGCTGACGGCGCGCGACTCTTTTTAGATTCATTCTGGATGGTTTCCCTCGTACCGTTGCCCAGGCTGAGCGTCTGGACGACATGCTTAACGCTCGCCAGCAGAAGCTCCAGCACGCCGTTGAGCTTCAGATTGACGATGCCCTTCTGGTGGCCCGTATCACCGGACGTCTTGTCCACCCGGCTTCCGGCCGCTCTTACCACAAGATCTTCAACCCCCCCAAGGAGGAGATGAAGGATGACGTTACTGGCGAGCCCCTCATCCAGCGTTCCGACGACAACGCCGATACCCTCAAGAAGCGTCTCGGCACCTACCACGCCCAGACCGCTCCTGTTGTCGATTACTACAAGAAGACCGGTATCTGGCGCGGCATTGACGCCAGCCAGGAGCCTGGCCAGGTCTGGAAGAGCCTGCTCGGTGTTTTCCGCCAGAACTAGATGCCTTTAAATGGCAGAGGACGTCCACCTCTGAGGCCGGAGTGATGTACCTTAGTGATACCCATCGTTCCGGTGCTTATGTCTTTGCCCGGAGGTAGAGGCTTTTTGTATTGCCCTCACGGGCCGGCGAAGAAAGGCAGAAAGAAGACCTGCATTGTCCGGGAATGGAAATTGTCTTTCCCATGTCCTTATATAGACTCATGCCTTCCGGCGGGATATCTCTGTTTTGTATAGTAGTAATTTCGGAATGCGAATAACCTCCGACAAGTAAACCGCCATGATCATGTAGCTATTGATCTTTTGTGCTGGCGTAAACAGGCCAACGCTATCTGTTCTCGACCGTCACATATGAACAAAACTTGGAATGGCAGATCATATCATCCGAATCACATGAGTACTAGATCTACAGCTGCGTAGGATACACAGTTGACTCGATCTTCTCCGGATAAGTCAACCCACCCTGCCGTCTAACCTCATCCATCACCTCCATAATCACAATGCTCTCCTCCCATGGCAGAGTCTGGCTCTCCAGCTTCCCGTCCCTCAAGCACCGCGCCACCTCATCCGCCTCCCAGAACATGCCCTTGCCATCGCCAGGGAACGGGCACTCAACCTCCTTCACCTCACCGTTACCCTTGGCGGGGATGATACGGTACCGCTCAGGCCGGAACGCCGGCCCATCCACCTGGATCTCACCCTTCGTACCCTGAATCCGGATGGCCGGACGGGCGGTGTTTGCCTCGTCGGGATCCGTGGAGACGCGGAGATGCGTCATGGCCACAGCCTGAGACTGACCCGGGTGAGGAAGATTGGAGGGAGTGCTGGTCGGGAAGCTCAAAAGGATGGTAGTGGCCTCATCGGCGCCGGTTAGGTGGTAGAGGGTCATGTGGGCGGAGATGGCGGAGGGGGGTTTACGTTGCTCCCGGGGGAGGGTGTGGTAGAGGGTCTGAAAGACCCAGGTCAGGGAGTAGATTCCCACTGTGGGTTCGAATATGGTCAGTTATCAATGTCGTTGTCATCATTCAGGGGAGGAGGGAAATGGTAGGTAGACACCACATACAATCCAACAAACAACCACCCGCCAAATCCTTATTAACCATACGGTGTTCCGTGCCCCATCTCTCCTCGACCGGGTCTCCGAAACTGTTATCGGAGATCACCCGCAAGACCTCACCAATAGCACCCTGCTTGATCAAGTCCCTGATCTGGATACTGAGAGGGAAGTAGCGAGTCCAGACAGCTTCCATGAGGAAGAGGTTCTTCTTCTGGGCGGTCTCGCAGAGGATCTTAGCCTGAGCCGCGTTGACGGTGAAGGCCTTTTCGCACAGTACATGCTTTCCGGCGTTAAGAGCCAGCATGACATTCTGGAAGTGGTGGGAGTGTGGAGTTGCGACGTAGACGACGTCGACGTTGGCGTCAGCTACGAGATCTTCATAGGAGCCATAGGCGGCACAGGGGGACGGGATGCCGGTATCTGAGATGAATTTCTCTGCTCGTGCGGCGTTGGAGGAGGATGCTACGGCCACGACGGTGTGGGAGACGTCGGTGACGTTGCGGATGCTGGGGTCTCTCAGGAGATCGCGGGTAAAGACTATAGTGTTGATGTTAAAGAGATTTGCTGACTGTGAGATTTTGGAGGAGAGGCTTACCATCGGCGATCCACCCCGTAGCTGTAGAGGCGCAATGCCATCCATGTTCGTTAGCCTGGGATCTTTTTGTTTGTTTGACTGGATGCGGGGAAATTGGTCCCTACCCATGATACCCCACCGGATATTGTGGGGAGCCATTGTGAAGATGGAGGACTGGAGATTTCTTGGATGCTGAACAGGGATCAACAAGGCTAAGGAGTGCTGCACAGTCGCACGGTTGTCTCGGTTTTGAGGAATGTTTGATAGATGTCGAGGGGAAGTGAGGAATAAAAGTAATTCTTGCTGTGCTGAGCGGAGTTGCGCCGAGCGGGGCAGCTTCATTTGCCGACGTCATTCGCCGAGACTATAAAGACTGGGGGTTTAGTATCTATATATGGTGGTTCTACGTAATTAATCACATAAAAGACACCCAGGATGTATATAAATGACCTGATATTTGGTTCATCTGGTTCTACAATGGGATACTATATACAAGGCAGCGAGCCCGGGAGTGCTGTATGTGTCCTGTGATCCATCACCATCGTCACTTGCCCCGGAACGCCCAGGGGAAGGGAATTCATTCAACCTTCCCATGCAAAAAATACAGCCGTGAAGCTGAATGAACGATGCATCTTCGCTCAAAAGCAGAGAATCGTTAACAAAGAGTAGGAGAAGAAAGAAGGGAGAGAAGGGAGTGTACACCCCGATCACACGGGCTCTGTCTTGATCCGTACATTGGATCCAGGAGAATCGGTTCCCTATATTACGTGTTAGTCACGCAGGACTCTAAATAGATCTCATTGATGAATCACTCACCTCGGCCTTGCGTTTGCCCAAAACAGACTCGGGAGTCCCAGTTCGTCCTGACGGCGTCCCCCGGCTAGCTGGCGTAGGTCCGTCCTTGGTCACTTCGGCATAGCAACTGGCGTGGTACACGCGACTTCCCACCTTGACCGCGTCCTGCCAGATCCAGTCCTGTACATCCTCTGACCATGTCGACTCAAATTTCTCTTGGCAGATAGGGCAAGGGGTATTTCGCAATGTCGCGTCATTCGGGGCGTGGATCCACTGCTTAGGAGGCCCCTTCTTCGTCGCAGCGCCGTCAGCACCAGCAACACCCTCAGCCGAGGCCTCCGTCTCCGCAAGGTCTTGTTCGTCTCCCGCCTCACGGGATTTGATCCAATCCTGGAGATAGTTAGTACTGCAGGATAAATAGTTCGGAAATGGTACGTGACTTACCCGTTCATCAACGTACCAGCTGCGGTTTTGGGCCCGCCTAGCTGCCTCAGACATGCGCTGGTTGGTTCGGAAGTGCCAATCCAAATGGCGAGCCTTCTTCTCCTTCCCTTCTTCCGTTGCAAAGAAACGTTGACCGCATGTTCCACACCGGTTTGACCGGGTCTCGTAGAGGCTGGAGATCAGCATTGGTCGAGGGCTGGGGGGTCATTAAGTTAATAGGACACCAATGTAGCATGACATAGGAAACTCACATCTTGATGGACGCTGTACTCATTTGAACGTTTATTTGCGCATTCGATGTACCTTGTTGTGTCTGCGGCGTCGCGACGGGAGGCGTGACTCGCACCTGACCAGGTACGATTAGTGGAAAAGCAGGCGCGACATTTGGTGGCGGAGCAGCAGTGAAAGCGGCCGGAGGTGCCGAGGCCGGTGGAAGTAAGCCCTGCGCTCTTAGGGCTGCAATGAGAGGATTCTCTGGTGCGGCGCTGACGGATGGTTGCGGCGCGGTGGTATTAGTGGGCATCTGTGGTAGGATGTTGTGGATTTGAGGCGGCGGAGTCGGCTGCTGACGGGTAGCAGTAGCTTTGAGGAGTCCGGCAAGCGTGCCGGGGTTGAGGAGCTGTTGTAAAGGTTGCGAAAGAGTTTGGGCTGGAGGAGTAGCCATGGGGGGCGTTGAAACAGTCGGAACAGTTGGAGCTATAACTTGAGGAGCCGGAATTGCAGGCTTTGGAGCGAGAGCTGAAACCTGGTCGCGGACGAGTCTCAATTGCTCCTGGGTGAGTTCTTGCCGTTGCAAGATACCCTGAAGATCCAAAAGAGCCTTCAGTCGTTGCTGTATGGAAGGGTCTAGTGGATTGTTGGCAAAATCGCTTCTGGCGGTGGCAATAAGAGCCTCGATGTCTCGGTTGAGAGCCGCGAGATCAACCTCTGTTGTACGTGGCTGGGCTTGGGGAGTCGGCGTTCCCCGTGAAGAGTACGATTCACCCTGCTAATTGTATGAGACCTTCCGCCAAAGTATTAGAATGTGACATGATACTTACCGATGGTGGATATCCGTGACCAGAGCCATTGCGCTGGTAATGTATGGGTAAAGCCTGATTTGCCGCAGGTGGATGGCGGCCCATGCCTTGCGGTGGTGTCGGAGTGCTGTTCCACGCTGGAGGAGTACCAACTCGACCGCGAGCGAGGATGTCTTGTTGGGTTCGAGCCTGCTGCTGCTGAAGCGCTGCAGTCCTTGCTTTGATCAGAGCACTCTCAATACTGCGAGTGATTTCTGGAGGGAAAACGGGCCTGGTGTCGAGGGAACCCGGCACTGGCTCCTTCCAGGTTTTGAGCATCTCATCCAACTTCTTGCGCGTCTGCGAATCGACCAGTGTGTAGGCGTTCATGAAGGTCTGATACAGATTGCGACCCAGGAACAGAGTGTAGGGCGTGCCTACGTTCTTGACAATCGAATCGACTACATACAAGGCGGGCAACTTCTGAGCCGGCGGAGTCTACAGAGCAGATTAGAACTCGTTTCATCCCAAAGAGAGACTACAGACGGGTTGAGCGCCCTCGTCAGGTCCGACGAGGGCCCAACCGGTGGTATTCTGAGAGCGTGTCACCTACTGTTCGAATGTGGTTCTCCAACACGCGGGAGATGGCCATCGCATGTTCAGTGTTCTCCTTGGCTATGACAGTCAGATTGCTGATCTGAAACCTGTCATTGTTGGTTAGATCTTCCAAGGAATTCTTGTAATCCTCGGCAACTTCGTCGGAGGCCAACCCGGATGACATGGTGGGCAGATACAAAGGCTGATGATGCTGAGGAAGGGGGAACAGGGGGCAAGTGAGAATAAGAAAAGGGTATCGACAAAGAAGAAAGAAATGAACAATGGACGAGCACTAAAGAAGGGCGTAACACTCGGAAAGAATATTTATGTTCCTTGTGTTTGTTCTTGCTCCTCTGAATCCTCCTCTTTATATTATTTATTGGTTTTTTCACTGTATTTTCCAGTTCCTTTCTTCGTCCTTAAGACTTTGCTTTTTTTTTTCTTCTTGGCTTTCTTCCCTTCTCTCCTTTCTTGTTAGGAACTTGTCCTTCTTATTGCTTTGTTTCTCTCTTCTTTTCTCCTCTGGTTTTTTCCCCGG